ATTCATTCATTCATTCATTCATTCATTCATTCATTCATTCATTCATTCAATGTAAATGGGTGCTCTATCTGTATGTACACCTGCACGCCAGAAGATCCCTGCATAGATGGTTATAAGCCTCCATGTGGGTGCTAGGAATTGAACTCAGAAGTGCAGATGGTGCTCTTAACCCCTGAGCCATCTTTCCAGTCCCTCTTCTTTGACTTTTGAGCATACCCTCCCAACACCAACTGGCAACACTCTCTAACAGATACTTCTGTCCATGCCTCAGGCCCAGGTAGGAAGAATATTTGTAGAGGTCCCTCGTAGGAGCCTTTACACAGAGAGGAAACACTGAAGATGATACCGTAAAACTACATATTCATTCATAGAGGAGCAGGCATAAGGCACTATTATACAGACTTCATTTGTATTTAACTTTTGGTCGTATTCATGTTTTTTTGGCCTATGTCTGCTTACTACAACCCCATTCAATTTAAGTTTCAGTGAGGAACAACTTCAAAGAGTCCCCAGAATGATCAATAGGCATCAAGAAAACTATTACCTGCAGAGGTTTGGGTCCTGTAATGTGCTGTGGAGGTGGCAAGGGTGGAGGAGGAGGTGGTAGAGGAGTCATGGAGTTAACTTTGGGCACTCCTGCCAGAGGCGGGCTCTGCTGGAGCCCAGAGACACCAATGGAGGAAGGAGAAGAGCCCAGGAGGGTAAGTGCAACATAGGCGCCAGCTAGAAGAAAAGAAAAAGAGGCTTGCTAGAGAACCACTGTTCTCAAGAAGAGCAGTTTTTTAAACCACCTAAATAAATAAATAAACAAACAAATAAATAAATAAATAAATAAATGAATGAATAAATGAATGAATAAATAAGTGAAGGATCATCTTTCGCCTTTCATTAAGCCTCACAATCCCATAAATTAAAATCTCCTCACTTTAAAAGTTCTAGTCATTTTCTAATTTCTGGCCCCACTGCCCTGCACCAACCAAGTTCTTTCTTCTTGTAGAGACCCCAACCAAAATTCCTCCCATACACACTCCCTATGCACCATCTCACCTAGTATCCCCCCATCTCTTTTCGCTTTGTTAAGGTAGTCTTTCAACGTAGCCAAGAATGGCCTTAAATTCGAGATCCTCCTGGTCTCAGTCTCGGTGCTGGGACTGTCTGGGTGCACTACTATGCCCAGCAACCTTCTTTATCTTGTGAAACTGAAGCACAGCACACTGCCCCCATGGCACACAGCACAATTCTAGCCTTCCACTCTCTGAGACTTCGCACATTCGTTATTTAGTTCCTCATTACTCATTCCTTCTACCTGCCTATCTGTAAAGACTCACTTGTTGACTAGAATATTTTGCCCCTCTTCCGCCTCCAGAGGAAGCTGATAAGGAAGAATGTGAATGGAACAGAATAACATTTAAATGAAATGTGGTCTTAGTAAGATATGGTCAGGAAGGGCAAAGACAGTGAGCTAAAAATGACGCTATCTATTGGGAAACTAACAGTGTCAATACTTGACATCGTGGTAGGGTCTTGCAGCAGTTTAAGTTGACCACTTCATGTTAAGTCTAAAGATGTGGTTTCAGCTGTCTCAAGCTCTACAAATGAAGCCTCTAAGGTCAGTAAACCTGCCAATTTGTCTCAGAGTCCACCAGGTTTCCTATTTCTTTTCTTTCTTTCTTTTTTTTTTTTATTTGCTATGCCCTAAACAACTCACATTTGATAAGCTTCACCACCTCCAGGTGTGAGCTATTGGTCACCATGGTGCCGTTCACCTGTTGGAGGGACAAATAACATTGAGTAATGGTGGTGAAAACCTTTTCCAAATTTAAAATGCCATTTCTTAAGGAAGCCATTCCCAGTGCTTTTTAGTTACCCCTGGTTACTTGTTTACTCAAGTTCACATTATTAGTTTGTTCCAAGCTGGCTTCTAAGTTTTCAGGGATAAGACCCTTGTCTCCATCCACTGACTTTTTAGTTACAGCTGTGGGTATCACAGGCTCTACGGGCTTCATTCTTACTAGCGGAGAAAAAGTCTCTGCAGCTAGGATTTCTTTAATGTGCCAGGACCCCATTCTGTAAAGACAGACCTATATCCAGAAGATTGTCTCATGTCAGCACTGTGTGGAAGACAGACTAAGGTAAGAACCCAAGGGATTGGGTCCTTAACTAGCCTGAGCTAATTCCTTTTAACTTTTTTTTTTTTTCTGTCATTTGTGAAATAGGGATAAATAAAACCTACTCCAGAACTCTTCAAGATTGATGGACTTGAAGAGGCCAGAACACAGAAGCCAGCTATCTTCATCTTTTCCCTGCTATGGCTTCACCCTGATGTAGCAGTTGCCTGAGAGTCAGTAATGAGATGAAGCACAAGGTAGGCCACAGCACTAGGCTGTCCCTGAACCTGCTACCACTGTAAGATGGAGGACAGGTCAAGTTTACTTACTTTGATGATCCGGTCACCCTCTTTCACACCAGCTTTCATGGCTGCACCTCCTGTAGGGACACGGGCTGGTTAGCAGAGTCTTACAGCCACCTCCAAAAGTCACCAAATCTACACCAAAGTCCCTCTTAGATCACTGGCTCTGAAATTTTATATCAGAGCTTTAAATCCTGGGACATCCAGCAACAGGATGACTTTTAATCTAGTGAGGACTGTATGAGGCCTCGCCTAATGCTCTGCTCTTCACGGATCTCAGGGAACAGAGTTCAGAGAGCCAGCTAATGTGGGACACAGGTAGGGCTAGGCTCTGAGAAGGGTTTATTTTTGCCTTATTTGAATGTTTTAAGGCCAGATAAGAGTTATTTCTTATTATTCCATAGGAAACATAATTTTACTATATTAAATATAGTTAGTAAAGTAATATTAAGAAGAATTGGAGAAATGGATTAAAACAATAGCTTTCAAACTGGTGGTTTGTAAGTCTTGAGAAGTTCATAAAGATATTCTCTGGGTTCTTATCATTAAAATAATGATATGATATTCTACTAAAAAACAAAAACCACTAATAGGTTTCTTCATTTGAGATGCACCATATTAAGGCCTTTTGATGTTGGCTGACCAAGAGAGGTGCTCAAAAAAACAGGCTCTTGTACTTTTCAACTAGGGGGTGCAGAGGTTTTGTTCACTATATGGTTGTAAGGAGCTGCTATTTTAGCCTTAATTTATACCCAAGAAGCAGGAGAACACTACAACAAAAACAAGTTAATGAGAAGCATAAATATTATATTTTGTAAATTTGCCATTAAATCTTCTAAGTTGTATTTATCTGTTAAATCCCTCACAAAGCATATCTAGATGCTTCTAGTATATAAACTGTACCCTCTATTTTAGATTTTCAATTTGGGAAGTAAGGTTCTCCCTTATCTAAAATGTACTATTTGGGGCTGGAGAGATGTCTCAGTGATTAACAGCACTTGATATTTTTACAGAGGCCCAGATTAGTACCCAGAATTACTTACAACTGCTTGTAACTCCAGTTTCAGGTAATCCCAAGCTTTCTTCTAGCCTCTGTGGCAGGTATTATTATTGTTGTTGTTGTTTTTCAAGACAGAGTTTCTCTGTGTAGCCCTGGCTGTCCTGGAACTCACTCTGTACACCAGGCTGCTCTTGAAATCAGAGATTGGCCTGTTTCTGCCTCCTAAGTGCCGAGATTAAAGATTAAAGAAGTGTGCTGGTTTTTCTTTTTTCTTTGTTCTTTTCTTTTCTTTCTTTCCTTCCTTCTTTCTTTCTTCCTTTCTTTTTTTCTCTCTCTCTCTTTCTTTCTTTTTCTCTCTCTCTCTTTCCTTTTTTTTTGGGGGGGAGGGTCCAGAGAAGGTTTCTTTGTGTAGCCTTGGCTGTGCTAGAGTTGCTTTGTAGACCAGGTTGGTCCCACAGAGATATGCCTGCCTCTGCCTCCCTGAGTGCTGGGATTGCAGGCTTGCACCATGGCGTCTTGCAGATTTTTCTTTTTTGTTTGTTTTTTCAAACAGGGCCTCACTAGGTAGCCTTGGCTAGCCTGGACCTCTATATGTAGGTTGACTTTGAACACACAGAGAGTTCCAGCTGCTCTGTCTCCCAAGTACTGGGATTAAAAGTATGTGCCACCATGTCTACCTCAAGTTTAGTTTTTTAAATTACTAGTTATTAAAAGTAACCTGATGTTTATATAGTCGGGCAAGATAGCTACTTCCTTTCCAATTTCAAGCTATTTTCCAGTAGTTTTCTGTATATAGCACATTTTAAGAAGACTTATTTATTATATGTGTGTGTACCTCACAATTATTTTATCCTCCAGGCCTCTGTGTGGCTAGAATTCTAAAAGAATTCATTCATTTTCCCCTCGGATTCCCCCATTTCAACAGCCAAGCAGCACTGTTACACACGCAGTGCCCTTTAAGAACTGTCCACTCTTGACAGAAGGGACACAGCACTTACCAGGGCGCACAGACTGTACCAGCACAATGCGGTCTCCACTAACTGTGAAACCAAAGCCATGCTGGTCCTTTTGGATGATGACACAGCGTTGAACAAGACCTGTTGGGGGTAGGAGATAGATGTTTGAGAAGGCAGTCTCACTGCAAGGTCAGTTTATCCAAGCCAGCCAATTTTTTTTAAGTAGCCTTCTCAGACTAATCCAATTCCCCAGATTCACTGTGTCCACATACACTGCTATGATATGTAGCATCCTCAGTGACTGGGAAACCCTGTAACCAACTTTGTAACCCATCTGAGAAGTGACCCTTCTCTAGCGTGCTGAAATAGCTGTCCCTTTAGGCCTAAACGAAGGAGACTGCTTGAAGAAGGGCACAGCTAAATCTAGCTGTGCTCCTTAAGACTAGTATTGAAGATGAGCAAGCCCCTGGATGACTGGGAATTTAAACACAGCAAAAGGGGCACTAAAGCTTGTTGACTAGTGTTACATAGCTGGATAAATCATGATGGTGACCAGGGTTGTTTCCTGGCCAAATACAGGGAATAATGAATGTCAGGAGAAACCCTTTTATTCATACCAATATTCAAGCATAAAATAAAAAGGCAGGGGGTAAAGCAAAGAGCAAGGGAGGAAGGAAAGAAGAAGGGGTGATAGTGGCTACCAACTGTCTTCGCTAAGGATCTTTACCAGATACTGTACATATGTGACAGCACTCTGTGGTGATAGGGGCATGGGCTCTAGAGTTACAACAGAACTGGTTCCAAGCCTCAATTCTGTCTTCACCAAGTGTGAGGTTGGGCAAGTTTCCTAACTTCTCCCTGTGCCTCAGTTTGCTTATTGCAAAATAAGAATATTGTAAAAGCTACTTCCTAGGCAGATATAAAGAGGTAATCGCCATAAAACTCCTGACATAAAACTCAACACAACACGGTGTGCGGTCAACATAAAGTTCAGGTGTTTACATGTGGTGCACAGGATTTCTCTATAGGAGCACACGGCAGTGTCTACTTGCTGACATGCAACCAGGCGGTTACCTGTTGTCTCTGAGGTGTCAGAGGACTGGCGGTGGTGGGAAGGAGATGTGCGTTCAGGTTTGTCTGCCAGAGAAGACAGGCTACTTAACCTAGAGCAGGAGTAAAGAAGACACATTTGTGAGCGGATTGGGGAGAAACCACTGAAAGGGAGCACTGTTAGAGGGGCCCAATCTGGAACAACAAGAGATAACCCACCCACCTTGTAACTGGCCACCCCAACAGGAGACTAGCCATGTCTACACAGCTGATAACACCACCTATCTGGAATCCTAGCTGGGCAGCACACGTATGGTCTCTTTAATACTCAGCAGGGTGTGAAGAAAAATACCCTTTGTAGAGTCAGACAGCAGCAGGAGGGCTGTGCAAACATACATGTGTTTGCTGGGTCTTACCAGGCTGCAGTAGGGCTGAAGGAACAGAACAGGACAGCAGAGAAAAACGAATGCAAGAAAAAGAAACAGCTAGTTAGTGTTAGGTGATGGTTTGCAAAAGGGGAGGAGACTGGAAGGACATGGTGGGCCAGACACACACATACAGAAGCCTCCATGAGCACAACAGCATGGAATGGCTTCATCTCTTTGTCCCTGACAGTCTCACCTCGCTAAGACAGACTGGACAATCAGTGCTAGGGTTTAGGGAAATGGCAAACTGAACTTTTTTTTTTTTTTTTTTTTTTTTTTTAGAGCAAGGGCATATCAATAACCTGAGCTTCTGAAAAGTTCATTTATCTTCTGGAAACCAGTGAAGACTAGGAATCGGGTCTGTTGGTTACCATATATTTCAACCTCACAATCAGCCCCATACGGCTAGCTTGTGGCATCCTGCTCAGAAGCCAAGACTCTAAACCCTCTACATACCACAATCATTTCTTGATTTCTTCTTTAATTAAGGCTGACAGAGTAACAAAATACAAACATAAAACATGGCTGTGGCATGAGTTCACAGCTCCAGGGTAGCAGTTCAGTAGCTGCTACCCTTCCTGAGGCAGTTCCCTCAGGAAGGCAAGGTTCCTATCTTAGCTGTAGTTAGTGACTAAGTGGAAGCTTATGCACAGACTCACTGTGCACAATAGCAGAATCCCAGAAATGATGGTCTCATATCTATATAACAATACAGAATTTGTCCTGATAAAACTGTGTATAAGGAATGATTTCTATGATGCCATTAAGGGAAGAGAGTTATGTGAACATTCAAAGCAGTAGATAAAAAGGAAAATGGTATGTTTGCATATTTAATAAATATAATACGCAAGCATCTACCATATCTTTGCTGAGTACAAAAGAAACAACACTGGTTGTATCTGAGGTGGGAAAGTGGTTGGCTAAAATAGGCACAGGACTGGAGATCTCTCATTACATTCTTTTTGTGCTTAATTCTGAACTGTGTGAAGATACTAATTATTCACGAGAGGCCAGATTAAGTGGCCGACAACTGTAATCCTGACCTTTGGAAGGCTGAAGTAGGAAGATTGCTGAGCTCAAGGCAGTCTGGGCTATATATAATATTTTTTAGACTGGCCTGGGCTACACTGTGAGACTGTAGTCTCAAAAACAAAATCCCTACTTCCCAACCAACCAACCTCATCAACATCACTACCACTACCACTCCCTACACACATTCAGAAATACCAACGGGCTCTTTTCTTCCCCAGAGGAATCCCTCTTACCTGAATAGCTAAGACTGCTTTTTTACTGGCTGATCTTTGGGTCAGAGAAAGGAAGACATAAACAAACAAACAAATAAACAACAATCTAGGATCTAGGAGAGAATGATGCAGGAGAGGACAAAAGAGAAAGAAAACAAAACAACACAAACCAGACAAGACACTGGAGATGGTTAGTTCAAAAGAAAAACTCCAGTAGAGCTAAGGAGTTGATACAGTGATGTGCTTATTATAATGCAAATTCATCAATTTGTCTATCTAAAGTTCTTGTTCTGTACTCAGCAATAATTTCTAGCTAGGCCATTGAACAGGAAGTTTGGCCTGATGTCTGGTGAACTGTTCTACAGGGCCCAGTATCTTACATTTTTCCAACAGGGAATATTATTGAACAGCATTGCTCCAGAGACTGCCAAGGGAATAGGGATACAGACAACTGGATGAGGAAAACTTGAAGTTTTGGCCTAAACCCCAGGAACCAGAAGCTCTCTGTTAGGAAGGGCCTCTCAAAAATGGATTGTCAAGACTGTTTGGTTCTCACTGCTCTACTGCTCTCTTAGTGTACTCACAACATCCTTCTCTCAGTCCCAAACTGGGTCTGAATTCCTACTCACACACTTCCAAAGAATGTCCATTTTTACCTTGGTACACCCAGACATCCTCTTACCTTGTTCTTCTTGACCTAGAAGGAAACTGGATTTGTATATCCCCATTAAAACTCAGAAGGTTCATTTGAACTTGAAAACACTGTTCTGTCTTTGAGAGATGGGAAGTGAGCCTATAACCTTGCATACATCAAGGCTCTCACTGAGTTCAAGCTGGGCTGGATTGCATTTGAGCTGTAGCAATGAATAGGGCTACAGAACTGAAAGCAAGTGTACATTATCCACTGAAGAAGACTTCTGGGGGCATGGACAAAGATCAGCTGACCATGACCAGCCACTATAGGTTCTACTACAAACAAGACAAACAAGCCATAGGCCATGGAAGGCCCGATGAGGCACAAGCAGATGTCACATGTTAGATATTCCTCCTCTCCCTTCCCCTACTAGTAGTGATGAGAGCATTACCCTAAATAGAAGGGCTCTCACCAGGTAAACAAGATTGTTATTAGCTCCACAGAGGCCTAACTATGGGTTTCTGCTTACCAGGAACTTCCCCCAAACTACCAGGAACCTTCCTTAATCCTACCTCAAACATCAACTACTTCAGACAAGGGGATCTAGTGTCATTCTAAACAGCCCGTATCAGTTCAAAGACCTCATCCTGCTGAATGTCTTATAAAATATCTACTTGCTTTTCCACCATAGATAGCCTTTGGCAGTCTGATCCCTAATAAACCTTTCTACCCATAGAGCGATCTGATTTGGTGGTTTCACTGTGTCCTGGCTTATACCATGTAAACAGATGCTTTAAAAACAAAACAAAACAAAAAAAACCTCCAAAAACTAAGAGCTTAAAGAAGGGGAAAAAATGAACAATTAATTGAAGGAAGAAGAAATACCCATGTTAGGCAGGCCTGGTAGGTGGATAGAGGGAACAAACTTTTGGATGATCTTGGTTTCAAGTTTGAGTACACACTTGGAAGGAAGACCTTATTAGGTTAAAATAGGAAAGACTAGGGAGGAAACAAAGGAGAGAATAAAGTAGTTTGACATGAGATTGAGATAGTCAGAAGAAAAAAAATTTTTTTTGTGGTTCTTTTCTCCACCAAAATGTACCACCAAAGTTCAGGTTCCATTTAGTTTCAAGCTGGAGAGTAAAGATTTCCCCTCAAGCACGCACTTTCTTGAGATAGTTTTCTGACAAAAATTATCCAGCTAGAGATTTACAGGCCTGTTAGTGCCTTTTTCTGTTGTAACAAATGTGCTCTCTGTCTCTGTGTCTGCTCCTCCCTCAACACACTCTTGATCAAGAGCAAAGTTTGCCTTGTCCAGAAACTTCAGTTGGAACCCCTATTTCTCAGAGTCAGGGCCAGGAGCCTTACCAATTGAGCTCTCCAAGTCTTCTGGAACTCCTATTTCTAACACTAGAGATTATCCTTTCTTAATGTTATCAGTGACACCTGACACTTCAGTAGGGACACTGCCTCAAGTCTGGATTACTGAACAAACCAATGATCTACCAACAAATGACTGCTACAAACTAAAATTAGCTCATTTGACTCTTACTCTGCCACATCATTCCCTAGGTCCTTCAAGAACACATGGTTCCTCAGCCTCTTTACTGCCTACACAATTATATATGCAAATGCCTTTCCTCAGGGGGATCTTAAACTTTAGACTCCTTCTCTACTTCTAACAGATCCTAAGAAACACTGTGTTTACTTCTGCCTCTAACTTGTGATGGCTTCTACCCATTCTCCATCATGCTCCTTTTTAAAGATATTGGCCAAATCACTTACACCCCTTCTACTCTCCACAAGTTACCTTGGTCCATATTTGAGTTTGAATAATTTCAAACAGCATTAAAGCTGAACGAGCAGGAGGGTGAGTAACACTCTTTATCAGCAGTTCTCAACCTGTGGGTCACAACCCCTTTGGGGGTAGAATGACCCTTTCATAGGGGTTGCATATAAGATATCAGGTATCTTGCAAATCAGATATTTATGGTTCTTAACAGTAGCAGGATTGAAGTTCTGAAGAAGATGAAATAATTTTATGGTTGTAGGTTACCACAACACGAAGAACTGTATGAAAGGATTGTAGCACTAGGAAAGTTGAGAACCACTGATCTAGATCCACTTATTGTTAAATTTGTGTCCTTCCCCCGCCCCCGCTCCTTTCTACTCTTTTTTTTTTTTTTCAGAGACAGGGCTTCTCTGTGTAGCACTGGCTGTCCTGGAATTCACTCTGTAGACCAGCCTGGCCTTGAACTTAAACCTGCCTGCTTCTGTCTCTCAAGTGCTAGGATTAAAGACATGAACTACTACCACCCACCAGCTCTTCCCTTTATCTTTATTATTTATCTGGGTGCAGGCAGAGATCAACCTGTGGTGTGCGTGTGCATGAGTGAGTGGGGTTAGGGGTGTCGAGAGGCTGACATCAGATCCCTTCTGCTGCTCTCCACCTTGTCTGTAGAGAAAGGATCTCTACAGAATCTGGAGCTTACCAGTTTGACAGGGCTGGTTAGCCAGCAGGTCCTTTGTACTGCAGAACTGGATTTTCCATGGGCTCTGGCAATCCCACTCACGTCCCCATGCATGCACAGCAGCTGAGTCACCTCCCCAGCCCACATCTGCTTCTTTTCTACATTATACATTCCTCTCACTAGAAAAACTGTAGAGACGAGTAGGACTGGGAGGGAATGAGGGAGGGGGCTACAGCTGGGATATAAAGTAAATAAACTGTAATTAATATAAAAAAATGAAAATTTAATTAAAAAACTGCAGAGACATCATGACATTTTACCTCTAACTACTTTAGTGTA